TTAGGTTTTTATTTAGAGACTTTTACGCCAATTCACGATGAGTGTTTATTATACAAGTGGGACGAAACCCAAGCACATGGAGAAAATCCCATGTAAGGGGGCAACACTCTATTCCCGTACAGATGGAAGCAGATGGAGATTAGTCCACTTGCTATACTTCCAGGATATGGCTCCTCCTCGATGCCCACGGGAAGGGAGTTGCACAAAATCTGTGCAGTGATCCACCAACCTTCGCCTTCACAGTGGTGGATTACAGGCGATGTGCATGGGCACCGCCGCCCGGCTACCAGGAGCAGCGTAAATAAGTAATTGCAGGGTTGCGCCTTAATGCCTTAATGTTGACCTTTACCAGCACTATTTTGAATCCCGTGCCAGAGCGGCATGCTGTCCTTGCCATGTGCTGCAGCCAGAGGTGGATTAAACTAACCAAACAGAACATTCATCTGGTAAGGCCCACTGAGCTGTACAGCTCTTCTTCAGCAAGCGACCTGGCCGCACATGGTAGCCCAATGAAGTGGCTTATCATATGGAAATGTATAGCGGGCAAATAATCTAAACGCGTGATTAGGTCACGGGAGGACCCGGGGAAAATCCATGCGACCACGGGGAGAACATAAAACTCCAAAAAATACAGGCATCAGGGTAGAGATCGAACCCTCCACCACCTGAATACCAGGTGAGGGAGTTAACATCTCTCCAGCGCAGCGCCCAGGATAACTGGCATCGCGGGACAGAGGGCATTGTCGCCAGGCTCTTGCTGACAGCGATCCGAGGCGCGCCCGTGGTAATTATTCCCCCGGGAACGCGGGGCAGACGGGCACAATCTGCGCACGCAGCAGGGGTGGCCCACGCTTTTGCCGTGACCGGTTGGCTAAGCGGTCGACTAAAAGCAGCACGCGCCACATCCTCTCAGTCATTATCCTTGAGCCGGACGGTGCCTCTTCGGCAGTCTGGCAACAAAGGCACCGAACACGCCGAGCTCCCACCAGCAACAACCCCAATTACGAGATGTCGAGTGGGCTTGGGGCCACGTCCGTTAATGAACACGGCGACGTCGAGGTGGCGCGTTGCTTCTTGAGCGAATGCCATTGCCAGTGCATAATTGTTCATCAGGGCCCTCTATGATGTTGTACGTTTGCCCACTGACAAAGAAATGATCAGTCTATAATTTTAATGGTAGGTTTATTTTAACGGTGAAAAGGCAGAATAACAACAAGAAAATCCAGAAAAACGCATGTCAAAAATGTTATAAATTGATTTGCATTTTAATGAGGGAAATAAGTATTTGACCCCCTCTCAATCAGAAGGATTTCAGGCTCCCAGGTGTCTTTTATACAGGTAACGAGCTGAGGTTAGGAGCACACTCTTAAAGGGAGTGCTCCTAATCTCAGCTTGTTACCGGTACAAAAGACACCTGTCCACAGAAGCAATCAATCAATCAGATTCCAAACTCTCCACCATGGCCAAAACCAAAGAGCTCTCCAAAGATGTCAGGGACAAGATTGTAGACCTACACAAGGCTGGAATGGGCTACAAGACCATTGCAACGCAGCTTGGTGAGAAGGTTGGTGCGATTATTCGCAAATGGAAGAAACACAAAATAACTGTCAATCTCCCTCGGCCTGGGGCTCCATGCAAGATCTCACCTCGTGGAGTTGCAATGATCATGAGAACGGTGAGGAATCAGCCCAGAACTACACGGGAGGATCTTGTCAATGATATCAAGGCAGCTGGGACCATAGTCACCAAGAAAACAATTGGTAACACACTACGCTGTGAAGGACTGAAATCCTGCAGCGCCCGCACGGTCCCTCTGCTCAAGAAAGCACATATACATACCCGTCTGAAGTTTATCATTGAACATCTGAATGATTCAGAGGACAACTGGGTGAAAGTGTTGCGGTCAGATGAGACCAAAATGGAGCTCTTTGGCATCAACTCAACTCGCCGTGTTTGGAGGAGGAGGAATGCTGCCTATGACCCCAAGAACACCATCCCCACCGTCAAACATGGAGGTGGAAATATTATGCTTTGGGGGTGTTTTTCTGCTAAGGGGACAGGACAACTTCACCGCATCAAAATGGACGATGGACGGGGCCATGTACCAAATCTTGGGTGAGAACCTCCTTCCCTCAGCCAGGGCATTGAAAATGGGTCGTGGATGGGTATTCCAGCATGACAATGACCCAAAACACACGGCCAAGGCAACAAAGGAGTGGCTCAAGAAGAAGCACATTAAGGTCCTGGAGTGGCCTAGCCAGTCTCCAGACCTTAATCCCATAGAAAATCTCTGGAGGGAGCTGAAGGTTCGAGTTACCAAACGTCAGCCTCGAAACCTTAATGACTTGGAGAAGATCTGCAAAGAGGAGTGGGACAAAATCCCTCCTGAGATGTGTGCAAACCTGGTGGCCAACTACAAGAAGCGTCTGACCTCTGATTGCCAACAAGGGTTTTGCCACCAAGTACTAAGTCATGTTTTGCAGAGGGGTCAAATACTTATTTCCCTCATTAAAATGCAAATCAATTTATAACATTTTTGACATGCGTTTTTCTGGATTTTGTTGTTGTTATTCTGTCTCTCACTGTTCAAATAAACCTACCATTAAAATTATAGACTGATCATTTCTTTTTCAGTGGGCAAACATACAAAATCAGCAGGGGATCAAATACTTTTTTCCCTCACTGTATGTCCTCGCTAACAGCACTTGCCCCAGCCGTCTGTTTAGGCTAGAATGGGATCTTTGTTTTGGCTGTATGCTCCTGCTGGTGGGGAGTGGTGGCACAGTGGTTAGCGCAATATGCTAAGCACCCGGTGACCCGAGATTGCTTCCAGCTCATAGCATATAACAGTGGCAAATATTTTAATCTTCCCGAGGTCAACTCAGCCTTAATTTAGTACCTGATGCGGTGTATTTAAAACATCAGCACTTGGGAAACCAAGGTGGCCAGGCACGTTGCTGACCACCCACCCTATTGTACACCATGCGGACCTTCATAGGGGCTAACAGCCCTTGCCACAACAGTGTATTAAAGGCTATATGGGAGATATTGATATTTGTTGAAGAGGATGTATGTATCAATCCACCAACAGATGATGGCCTTCCCGTGCAAATCAGTACTGGTTTATAAAGGAGCCCCAATACCGATTCACATATATGTTGCTGCTAATGTTCGCCATGGCTGGGAATATAAATCGGGTCGCCGGGTTCACAACACAGCCCGTTAAACACTCTACCCCATGTACATGTGGGTATACATAAGGGCTGTATGAGACAAACACCCCAGGGTCAGGTTAAGCCTGTTTCGGGTACCCATTCCTGCAAGGGTAAGGCTGGTCGGACTTCGTGGCATTTTTTTTTTAAAACCATCACCACGTGGTAGGACGGACGTGGCGCTAGGCGCACGTGGCTCGTGCTGAATTGCGCTGCCTCAGAGGTACACACACACACACAATTCCCCAGTACGGTCAGGTGTCACAACCTCAGCATTGCCCTGGTTGTGACCTCTCAACCCGCCGCCCGAGAGGAGGTGGGATGTCACTCCCCCCAGCGGTGGCAATGACCGCTAAGGAATAGCAGCGACTCGTGGGACTGTCCTAAAATTGGCCACGAAACAGCCACTGGGGGGAGGGGGGGGACAAACAAGCTGCCAGTAAGGCCACGTGAATTGCACCAGAGGGTCCTGATTTTTTTAACCACAACATGGCCTCGGCAAAACGCACGGAGAAGATAATTGCAGCCATGCGTCGAAGGTTGTCTTGGCCCCGATCACCCGCTCTTTACTGTTGGCTTGAATGCTTTCTCCAACAGTACGACCAGGCAAAAACAGGTAATTGTGGTCGTTCTGTGCATGTATGTGTGTGTGTGCATATAGTGTAGCGGTTAGCGCACTGCGCTACGGACCCGGCGACCCAAGTTCGATTCCCCGCTCACGGCCAAGACCAGTGACGATTATCTGAACCGGTCCTGGGCCTCACCTAGGTCAACTCAGCCTCAAAGGAGTACCTGGTGCGATGTGTAAACATCGCCACTGGGAAGGGAAGATTTGTAACCATGTTTTTAAAAACCATTGTGTCCCTCCAACGCAAATTTTATTTTGCTCGGCGAACTGTGTATGTAAAATGATCTCGTGATGAGAATTTTTTTTTTAAGTTATGGTTAGGTGCTCCATTATAGTACTCGAGTGATGTAACTGTGGTGCTTGTTTCATCTTTGTACCCAAAAAATTGTATCCCAATTGTACTGTTGGTGTCACACCACAAAGGAAAAATTAACATTCTGATCTCCCGCACAGCAGTGCAACCCCCTTCGTGTTTCCTCTACGCTTCGTGCGAGAGAATAGCCCACGGAAACAAATATCACGAAATCACTTCCAGAGATCGCTTCAGGTCACCTCTGGTTTGCACAGTAGGAGGCAGCAATTTCCATACTTGCTTTGGCCACCAGTTTTTTTGTTAATTCTCAGCAAGAGGATTTAGCCAAACGAAGTGCAAACCCTAATTTAACATCATAGGTTTTGTTTTTTGTACGTGTGCAGTCATTGGTGGTTGGAGTTGAGACCATCAGCTCTCTCCACATTTGAGAAATTGCTTGAATCACTCACGCATGCCTTTGGTGTGAATATACATCCCGGATCTCAACTTGTATATATTTTTTTAAATATAATGTCATGCAACAATGTTTTCACTCACTCTTTGATGGAGGGTACAACTGTTCGATATAAAAACATTTTTGTTTTCTCACGAAACTTTTGTCAAACAGCCCAGGGTGTGCACAGCCTCCGCGCACATCTGCGAGATATATTTCATTATCGTTCGTGTCATCATCTTCCTTTAATCAAACCGCCTGCCGCGCTCGCACGCTCGCTCTCTCGAGCGCTGAATCTGTGCAGACATCACGACGTGGGTGGAGGGGGGGGGGCAAAAGTCAACCGGGTCGGGGGCAGCTCCAGGGGAGTGCAGGAGGGGGGAGGAGTGACGTACGAAACGCGACGAGGCCAACCTGGTTGTAGAGGGCGCAGACGTGGAGGGCCGTGTTTCCCGACGCGTTCTGCACCCTCGTGTCGGCCCCGTAGAACAGCAGGTGCTCCAAGTGCTGCACGTTCCCATAACGGCACGCCTGCAAGCGCACGCACGCGCACGGACGCACGCACACTGCGAGGCGCTCCAAGTCTCAATTGGACAAGGCTGCTGGTGCCACGGCATCCTGCATTGCATGCGCGCGGGATTCGAGCAGTGAGTGCGCGCGTTACGTATGCATGTTGAACTTCTATCGCACGGTTGGCTACGTGCGGCATGAGAGAAGTTCGTGTGTACGTATGTTTGTTGAACTTCTTTCGCGCCGTACGTAGCCAACCATGCTGAATGGAGGTGCGAGGAGAGGACAACAAACTAAACACAAAATGCGGTTCTAAAGAAATGCTCTTTCAATCTAGAAGCTCAACATGCATGTTTACATGTTCGCTCACTACTCGACCCCACGTATGTGCAATCTTGACCACACCTTGTTGGAACACTCAGGAGCTCCTCGCATGCAGTGTATAACATTTCCGTGTGGTTCCGTGGTTAAACGGCTCGACTCGCAATCGGAGGGTTGCGAGTTCGCCTACTAGAAGGAGGTTGGCTCAGTCCATCATCACGCTGGGATGTATATAAGCGGTACCACATCAGAGTTATTCAATGGTGGCTAGCTTATGGCACTGACTTGACAGGGGAAAATGGAATTTCCAGCCACTGGCTCATGGCTGCCAAATATGGATGCACAATGACCCTTATGTGTTTGGACATGAGGACACTTTTACCATTGGTTCTTTTTTTATATTATATGAACAAAGTCAGTGTTTGAACGATCAATTCAAGCAAATTGTGCAAAAGTATTATACCACCAATTTGACACTGGTTTGTGTAGCTCTTTTATCTTCCGCTTGAATTTACTCAATAAACCCCTCCACCCCTCTCTTGCAAATATAGATGTGTTTTTAATTGGGGCTCTTCGAGTGAAAGTGTATCTATTCTCAAACAAACAAAGGGGTAGCAATTATCTACGTTGGCATTTGTGAGCCAGTGATGGAAAGTCAGCAGTCCATGTGCCTTGAAGCAGTGTCTAAATAATAAAACCACTATTGACCGTCTTACAAAAGTGCTTCTTATTTTACAGACCCTCAAAATAATAACCCGAGTCAACTTCCGACCAGGATTAAACCTCACAACATTGTAATTTTGAGTACTGTAGAATGCTCCAATGCCTTATATTATTTAGATGATTTACCTGCTATACATTCCCTATTATGATAAGGCACTTCATTGAGCTATCGTTTGTAGTTAGGTCGCTTCTGAACAATGGGCCATTCTAATTTTACATGTATTTATTGTTAGTGATTAGGCTTACCTTTCCTATACTTTGCACTCTTATTGTGTCTTGTATTGTTTGTTGTTGTAACTTTTTAACCCGGCCCGACTGGACAAATGCAAAGAGCTTCATAGCTCGTGGGATTCCTCCAGTATAAATACATCTTCTGATTCTGACTACAGAGAAAAGCTTCACTGAGCCTCAAGATGCATGCAGGAGGGGTCCTTTCATGGGATTGCTGGCCCCACAATGGGATTTCTATAAAAGAGTGTTTGTTACATGGAAGGACAACTAGGGATACCTGGAGAAAACCTATGCACATGGTGAGATACCACTCAAATGTCAAACCAGGTACTTTACAGCTATATTCAATCCACTGCCATTTCCTGGCCATCTCACAGCCTAAGCCTACAACAGCTGATATTTCGCAGGTAGTCTCACATCCAAACACTAACCAGACGTAACCCGACTTAGATTAGGAGATCCGATGATATGGGGCACGTTTATGGTGGTTTGGCCATCGGCCTACCGCAACACCATATCATTTGTTAAATATATGCACAGTACACACAGATTTTGAAACCCATCACGTGGAAAACAAGACGTGTAACAAATAATCGCGGGCTACCTTCTGACAACATTGCAACGGCTTGCAATGAATTATCTCTGCACGTTCCCTGCTGAGTTACAGGGCTTTGAAGAGGAGCATGGGTGACGTGGAGAGTGACGGGGACCGTAAATCCCTCTCATCGCCTCCACCCACGTAAGCAAGCAGGGCCAGCCTCATACAGCAATGACCAAGAGCCACGGATTTAGGAATTCACACCTCCCGTGGCCATTAAGGCACCGGGCCTGTATGCGCCGTGGTGATGATCCAATGCCCCATAACACCCCAGGGCGTTCATTGCCACACTCTGACGTTTGTTTTCTCCTCCAGATGAGAGCCCCGATGGATTATGAAGGTTTAAGGGAGGGTCATGTCAGTGTCATGGGTCTGTGTGAAGTCTCATTTGGTTCTATTGGCTTTTAAACTGTGATGCAGCACAGGTGTGCGTATGCCGTGTCGCACCGGGGCTGTTGGGGGACGCATTCCCTGAAATCCAGTAACTTAAACAGTGGCGGGGGTTTGACGGACCGTACGGAGATGGAGCCATTGCGTGGGCAAGGCAAGCCACCTTCAGGTCAACAAGTGTGCACCTCCGATTAGCACGGTTGGCTACGCACGGTGCGAAAGGAGATCAACACGCATACAGACATCAATGACTTGAAGGAGGCGAGCGCAGCAAGGAGGGTTTGTGCAGAATTTTAGCGTCTTCTCTCAAAAGTGTGGATTTTTTTCCAGGAACACGAGTTTTCACAAATATGACCGTGTATTTGATGGAGTCATCACAAACATCCCAGAACATACATTCCATTCATTCAATAAGCGTTGCCAACATCAGTTGCCGTTGCGGAGTGGTGAAGAGTGATCCAGGAGCGAAAAACCGTGCACGACAAAACCTTCAATGAAAGAACATGCATATCTGCATCTGATTCAGCCGCTTCTTCTCTAACCGCAGCTGAAACGCGAGCAGCTGGTTATTGTTGCTCGCTGCCGGCAATCTGTGATGACACCAGCCCGAGCATCCCAGCTGCACAGCAACACACGGCAGCTGTCGTGAAAAATGAAGCCTTGTGGAAGAAAGTGCAGCCTACCATTGGCCTATTAATAGATCAGCGGCAGAGTCCAATACAAGTACAGGATGTGGGTAAGGGTCAGGGGCTAGACGTTAACATTTTTGGTCCGTCATCCTCATAAGATTTTCCGGTCATGGGGCGATAATGAAATGGCCACGGTCTAAGTGATTTGCAGATTTGTGTCTTTCTAACAAGAGGATAACAGAATCCAGTACATGGAGGAGATGTGGGTAGGGGGTCACGTTAGAGGTTGGAGTATGGTGGATGAGTCATCAGTTGAAATTGTCCAGTAATTGGGCGAGAGAGAAATACATCTGTTAAACGTGATCTTCAGAAATGTGTCTTTGACTGAAAAATGCTATATTTTTGTTAAAGCTGAAGTTGCGAAATGTAAAGTTTTTTTTTCATATATATACAAAGGGAGTTTGGAGGGTGAGCAGTGCAATGCATTAAGAGCTCCTCAGTTACTCGAGTTTGATTTCCAGACAAGGCAAATGTAGGTGATCAGTGTGAGTGATAACCGAACCAACGGATCCTGGGCAAACCTTCGACCACATTTCACGGATCAGCATGGTGAACTATGGTCAAACAACCTCCACGGCAGCCACGGTATAATGACAACACCATTAATAATAATCATTTAGTCGTTTTGGTATTTGCGCCATTCTTATCGTGCACGGCTGTCACGGAGGCGCTCTGCTCCACAGAGTTTTCAGTTGCTCCACAGCAGAGGGCGATGCTGCTACGTGTAAATGCCATTTTAGTCATTTGCGGGTTAAAAACAATGTCAACTTCGCAAACTTGGGCCAAGACGCCGGCACACAAAGACCCACTCATTTCAAATTGATGCCAGGGGGGGGGGGGATCTTTAATGTCCACTGTGAAGCAGATTGTGCGTAGTATAGCACGCCGTAGCATTAACCAGGGCGGCCGCTGGTGTCAAACCGAGAACCCTCCGCAACAACAAGGGGCGGACGCGATAACAGCTGGGCCGCGTCGCTGCCCCAAGGGAAGCGCCGAGGTAGCCTCATGAGCAAAGCTGCAAACTTTTTGTCAAACAGCCGGGGGTGTGCACAGCCTTGGCGCGGCATCTAAGAGAGACATTCATGTCAGCAGCAGATTGAGAAGGAGATCATGATTCGTCGTCTCGTTACGAGGCTGCTGTGACCCACGCCTCTCTCTCTCGCTCTTTTTTTATTATGTTGCTGCTTCTTTTACACCGTTCCACCTGATGCGAACAGTTTCACATACACGCGCAAAGTTCGTTTGTGTAGTTCATTCAAATAGAAGACGAAAGGATGGCTCAATTTAGACGTTGTCGACTGTCAAAGCTCGTGCTGTCAGCGAGTAACTATAAAGGCCAGCTAGGCTCATGAAACATTCAAGGCAACCATTGTCTCCCCGCGACTGATGTTGACACACTGGCACCAAACATTAATTTAGCGCGGAGTTGACGTAGAGGAGATCCAGGCTAGGTTCTGGTACCGCTTGCCTTTGAAGTTGCGCATCATAACCGAAAATTAAAAGGAGGTTAATTGGGGCAATCGCGTGCACTAACACACCACACACTCACAAAGATCCCCCCGTGTCTAGCCTTATAACAGACTGTCGGTGAAAGTGCTGTTAGCGAGCACCTGTGAAGCCCGGCACGGCTCACGAAGGGGTGGGTGGCCAGCACCACGCCCGGCCGCCTTTGTCTCCCAGGTGGTGATGTTTACACTTTGCACCAAGGAATTAATTTGAGGCCGAGTCGACCTAGGGAAGGCACAGGACTGGTTGAGATAACCATAACCGGTGTTGGCTGTTAGCGGCAATGGAACTGGGCTTGCCGGGTTCGTAGCGCAGCGCGCACTCACTGCTACATACCCACACATACATACACTATAAACTACAAAGGTTAGAATCGTTGCTGAGTTTGTGCAATGTTATAAAACACGGGTTCCTCAAGGCTCACTGGGCGCACACAATTCCACCCTGATGGAGCCATCTGCTCAGTATCGTGCCCTCAAATTATTCACGAATCACCACCAACAACACAAGCGTGATGTCGCATCGCCTCGTACTATCAGCGTGCTTGCCGCTCTGCACCGCGA